TAAACTCCAGCATCTTCAATATTTTGTTTTAAGACGAATGAAAAGGTAAATAAATTTAGAAGCAATCTTTAGTAGATACATTCAAATTATTGTTCAAATCCGTTTGGAAAAGAGCTGTAAAGCGTAGATTGTGTTTAGTAGGACGGAAATTAGATCAAAAACCTCCCTGGTTTCTGGAGAGACATATAAGATTTTAAAGATTTTGCGATAGACAACATGATTGTTAGGTGGAAATACCGTGGGTAAACATACCAGTGATTTATTTAGCGTATTCTGGAAAATAATACGAAGTCAATACAATAGCATAAATAATCTTTAAAACGCCTCGATGACCTTAATCTCCCTACTGCAAAAGTGACCTCAATGCACTAGAAAGGGTTTTTTCCTTGATTTTTTTTTCCGTCGACCTTGTTTTCCGTGCTAAGCACCAATGCTACCGACGCCAGGCAGGCAGCTCCACACCTGGTCCCTTCCTACCGACCCATCAACTCATGAACCGAGGACTAACGGCTTTGCGTGATCAGAGATGTTATGCCTCAGAACATCCCGGTGACGCCGACTGGGATTGAACCCAGGCCTGCTACTAGAAAGGTCAAAATCGATATAACGGATGCAAACATTTAACCAACTGGTCTAATTTTTCAACGATAATACAGACAACTAGATATTCTATAGCTCGATGGATTCAGCGGTCCCTTCATTTTTCCATACATCGTTCTCTCGATAAATCGATATTTCCACAAGTCGATGCCGCCTTTGGTCGATGTTCTACGTAGTGTTATTTTGATGTTAAAGTTGAAGGAACTTTAAAACATGATAACTGGTGATCATATTGAGTATTGGCTACATTACAACACGGTCCGGAGATGAACCAGCGTTCGGCTGAAAGTCACCTTGATAAAGATATCTAACTAACTTATTACAGCACGGTGTCATGGTATCCTTGAGGAACTTGTCCGTGTCCCGATCCGGTCTAGGAATTTTTCGAGTTGGAGAAATCGTTCCCTGTTGTACTTGCCTCCCTTAGCTCAGTCGGTAAAGGCGCAGCTACAAAGCAAGACCATGCTGGAGGTGGCTGGGTTTAATTCCCGGTCCGGTCTAGGAATTTTTCGGGTTGGAAAATTTCTCGACTTCCCTGGGCATCGAAGTATGATTGGACTTGCTACACAATTATACCAATGCAAAAATGGTACAGGCATCGAAAGCTCTCAATTAATAACTATTTAAATGCATCTAGAACACTAAGTTGAGAGCACGCAATAAGCTAATATGCGATATGCAATAAGCTTGAAATGCGAAGAAAAAGAAGAAGTTGTACTTGCCACACAATTATACTAACGCAAAAATAGTACAGGCATCGAAAGCTCTCAATTAATAACTGTGGAAGTGCATCTAGAACACTAAGTTGAGAGCACACACTAAGCTAATATGCGATAAGGAACAAGTTTGAAATGCGAAGAAGAAGACTCACAGCTTTCGTAAATGGATTTAAAATAAAAATCGAATCCAAATGGGTAAATAAGGCCGGTTATTACAGTCAATGGATTATTTCGAGATTATACTACAAGTCGATAATTCTATTACTCGATGGTTCATTCAATGCCGAGTTATAGAGAGTTGACTGTAATTCGAGATGTCAAGCTACGAATTTTTTTGGAGATTGTGAACTATAAAAAAGTGCCTGAAGATTTGTAAAATTTTTAGGCACATTGCACAATCTTCAAGATCTTGACTTGAACAAATTTACTCCGACTCGAAAACTTAGGTAAAATTTAGTGTCCCAGACGGTTGGTCCTCCGGGCACGTTGAAATCACGTATTTCACTTTTACAAATTGGTTTCATTTTGGCAGAAAGCCGTTTGATTTAAGCAGAAAGCCCGAAAATTTAGTGTTTCCAAAATCGAACCCCGTGGTTCAAATGGTTTTAATTAAATTTTAATTTATGATTTCATTTAGTTTGGACCATTGTGAGTCATATTTATGACATTTATTTATTTATTTATTTCTTCATCAACAGGCTTCTTGGCCCCAATGATGAATAAGTTGTTGCCAATGAACTAAATTAATATACATTAAAACTACACATATGTTTCAAATTATCTAAAAACATTAATAAATCCAGCACGTAGCAAGTCACGCGAAACGTTAAAATCAAATTGACTGGCAACCCGGTTGAAAACTCTCTGTATCCCAGTAATGGCACTGTTCATTCCGTAATTGGTGCTGTGAGGTTGAGGTCGTAGCATCGCATTGTTCCGTAGAGATCTTGGTCGCTCATACAAGCAAGTTGATTCGTTGTAGGATTTCAGGACAATCAACTCGACCCAGCAATACATCAGAAACCAGCATAGCCTTAGCAACGTCTAGTGTACTAAGTGTGTCCAGGCGAATTAGCTGACATCGGTGCTCGTAGTTTGGGAGACGAAATGGATCCCGCCATAGTAGTCGACGAAGTGCGAATCGAACAAACCGCCGTTGCCCTGATTCTATTCTCTCAATTCCATTTTGGTAGTGAGGGCTTCAAACAGTCGAACAGTACTCCAATGTCGACCGAACTAATGCACAGTAAAGCGCCTTTAGACATTGAATGTGCGTGAACCCTTTTGTTAACCGGAAGATAAAGACTAGAGATTTTGAAGCTTTATTCACTACGAACGACACGTGAAGGTCAACTGGGACTCGAGGATAATTCCCAAGTCCTTGATTTCGTTAACTCTTACCAGTTGTACTCCAGAAAATAAATAATCATGGAGTTTTGGATTTTTCAGTCGAGAAAACGTAATAACTGAGCATTTTTCAGGATTTACGGTCATACGATTCATCTGGCACCAATGGCGAATGCATCAACTTTTTGTTGTAGAAACTGAGCGTCAGCCTCAGAACGAATCTTGAAATATAGCTTGAAGTCATCAGCAAACGAAAGCCTTGGTCCATCCAGCACTGCATTGACATCGTTGAAGTATAAAAGGAAGATGAGTGGTCCAAGATGACTTCCCTGCGGAATCCCTGACGTGATTTGAAATGAAGCTGACTATTTGCAAGCGACGACCAAGTAGGACTGGAACCAAGCCAAAAGAGTTCCATGCACCACGCTACAGCAATTTGATGGTTGACCTTATCGAATGCTGCGGATAAGTCCAAATATAGTACATCCGTTTGTGCTCGTTCAAGCATACTGTCGGTTACGTAAGAAGTGAGACATAAAAGGTTTGACGCGGTTGAACGACCGGGAATGAAACCATGCTGGTCTGGGCTTGAAAATTGCTTGCAATGAAAGAATAATTGGTCGATAATTATCAATATTCTTCCTATCGCCGTTTTTGTGTACTGCGAACATGTATGCACGTTTCCAGCAGGACGGAAACACTCCGGATGAAAGCGACAAGCTGAAGATCACTTGAAGTGGCTCGAGCAAGCTGTCAATGCAGTTCTTCAAAAACACAGACGGAATTCCATTGGGACCTAAGCACGTTGACACTTTTAGTTTACGTGCAGCTGCCATAATCGCATCATTGTTGACAGTGACTTCAGGCATAACTAGCCCTGACGGCTGTGTGTTACTAGATACTGATGGTATCTGTCTATCGGATAGCAATTCGTTGGAGAAAATCCTATAAAACTTCGAGGCAAACATGTCACATATGGCTTGTGGTTCAGAGACTACGGTCCCATTCCCCTTCATTGAAGAAGGCAGGTCACACTCGTTACGTTACTGTTTGACATAATCGCAGAAAGATTGTGGGTGGGATTTGAGTCATCGTTGTAAGCCCGTCTGATATCGAATATAACATCTCTTGCTAACGCGTTTATAGATTATGTTCAGCTTCACGTAGTGGTCACGCAGCGATACACTTTTGTTTTTCGAAAATCTTCTTAGGGCGGCTCTCTTTTGTCTTTTCAGCCTTCGGAGTTCGGGAGTGAGCCATGGGGTACGAGACCAATGACTACCGTCTTCTTGGGAACATGTCGGTCGATCGCATAAATATGAAAGAATATGACAGAATGTCTGTGCAGCTATGTTCACATTGGTTCCGTCAAGAATGTTCTCCCAGTCTAGCGTCTCAAGAAGAAGAATGATGCTGTGATAGTCTGCATTCCTGAAATCGTAAATGACAAAAGATGCATTGACAGTGTCTTCCTTTACATTTCTTCTCTCGATATTGAGATGCAACGGACATAGACGCTATTAATGATAAATCTTTTATTAAAAATTGTAATCACAACACATTATTTTTAAAATCCGTTCGATTTTGGCACGAGGCCAAAAAAACGGTTTTGTGGTTTTGTTGCCAAAACCGAACCCCGTGCCAAAAAACAAACGGGTGCTGTACCTATATTTTAAAACATCCGACTAATATAAAACTTCCCTAAACATATCCATTTACATTTCACCAATCCTCCAGTAAACCCCTCAAGGCATAAATGCCACCGAATCCCGATAAATCCCAGCTGTTATTGCACACAATGTCTGCATGGAAACAACCATTCATATGGGTCTGATAACGACAGCCCGATTTATCTGTATTCCTGCCCTGGGTACACATGCATATCATCGCATTATCGCATTATCAAGTCGAAATCCGTTCCCCATTTAGGAAGCCCGAAAGCAGTAACTCTTTTGAAAATATGATTCATCCCCCCAAACCCTTATCCATTAGTTGGCAACAATCGGTGCAAACGCGGGTCAAGAAACTCTTCAGCAAACCATGTACTGTATTTGCCGTGGTGGTTGGAACTGTCAGGAAAGCGAGCTAAAGAAGGCGACTAGCAAGTGAAACCGAGCCGATGGTGTTATCTCCAACCAATGGCTACGGACTAGGTCACAATCTAGCTTGATCACAATAGTCGTCGAGCACTCGCTCACTCTCTCGCCCTCTTGGAGCTGTTATCAGTAAACGTGTTTGTCCAGCGTCTACCGAGTGAACCTTTTTTTTTTTTGTTGTTTTGTCTAAACGGTGCTTTTGTTGTCATGCAAACCGAAGTGACAATAATCTACTCACCTCTGGACCCAGTTGACCCATGCCGTTGTAAGAGTCCACCATTGAGTACATGGAGATGACCCAGGTGCAGGAACTCTCGCTTACTAGCTCCCGCCGGACTCCGGAACAGACGTCGTTGAACAGCCGCAGGCAATGAACCTCCAATCAAAGGAAAAATTTACGCCTCTTATCCACCAGCTTGCAATCCACGATCATCAGTTGATCCTATCGCGACAACTTTGTCAACTATCACGATCACGAGTGCACACTTATCATACCGAACCCACGATCGGCTCTGTTTTCACTGTCGTTTTTTTTTATTTTGCTCGCTCGCGAGCGCACACTTTACGAAAAATTTGATTGTTTTTGTTTTGCACAATTTGCTCGCTGCTCGCTTCTTTATCTTCTTCCTCTTTGGACACTTGAAACACTCAATCACCAACGCGGTTCACACTGACGGACTGACTGTGAGCGAATGGCACTCCGGATGACTTGGGAGAAGGTGAGTGCAGTGTGCGATGCGGTGGGTAAATTGTTTTCGTCAACTTGCAATAACGAGCACGATCCAACTGCAAAACAACCAGAAATTACACGAAAACACGCAAGAGAATAAAAAAATACGACGAAAGGTGACCGCCTACGTTTCCGTTGCTCGATAATGCCTGTGGACAGAAATAGAGATAAAGGGGAAATATTTTAATTAGGTTAGATAAACAATTTATTGCGATAGTAGGCAACAATGGAAGGAAAACTTTTTTTTTGGTTAAATGACCGCATAGATTTCTACGCACGAGAAAAGGAAGCTGTACACCAATAAGAGCACGGTGATCTTCTCGTACCGTGAAGCTATTTATGGATGATCGGTATATTTGTGTTGATACAGTAGAACCAGTAGAAACAAGCACCGTTTGAAATTGCCGGTTGATTCCTTATCGCAATCGCAGAGAAAGGGAATGAGGTGTAAATTTGCTGCAAAGATAAGTACCCTTTGTCTACGATCAGCTTGACTCGGTGTTTGTGATTGACGGCACAGATACGTGCGCGCTCCGAACTTATCTAATCGATATTGCTACTCTAATTTGATGATCAATTATATCAATTATCACCGGTGACCTGCATCTGATTTCGTTCTATTTACGTGTGTTCCGCTGTTAGCTACATTGTTGGTGGATTTATTATCATTTTAAATTAGTTCTACTATGATAATTGAAGCTTGATAAAGGTTATAAGTGGCAGTAGATGTATCGATAAATTTTCCATTTAATCACTTGACGTATTTTCTGATAAAGATTTTGCCGAAGAAGTTGAACACAAGACATTGATCAAAATGGATCAACAGCAAGTTCACAGTATGATCCTCTCTTTTGTTTAGCTGGCGAACCGATTTCACAGTGATAATACAAATAAATCATAAAAAAAACGATTTAAAATGACGAATACAATATAATCTGTGACAATATACAAAATTGTGATTTTTTTTTTAATTATGAAAGTCTTTGTAGACTTCAGGGGGTGGGAGTGGTTTAAAAGTATTGACTACACTAGTTTACAGCATATTTGAACTTTGTACGCTGACGGTCATTTCCCACGTAAAATCGTGCGCTGAATCCAAAAATGTAGTCAGATAGAAAAAATCTCAGAAGGATAGTTTTGTAGATACAGCTAATAAAAAAGTTTGTTTACTAAAATACAAATAACTCCGGCTATAAAAAAGCTATATCAATTATTGTAATGCCAAATTAAAAGTGAGACAACTTGCTTTCGATCAACTAGATACTATTTTCAGTGAGATTAGTGGTGTTGTTGGCACAATCACTGCAAAAAATTGAATTTACCTTGCTTAAAAGTTTTGCTGAAATCAATTTTTCTTGGAAAAATGAAAAACATTTTTAAAAAAATAAACAAACTATTAATTAACAACAATTACACTAATCTCACTGACAAATAATGTTCAGTTGCTCGAACAAAAATTTCTCACCCTTAACATGGCGATCAGATAATTGATATAGCTTCATTACAGCCGGAGATATTTGGATTTTAGTAAACAAGCAAATTTTTAGTTTTTAGCTTTATCTAGAAAACTATTCAACTGAGATTTTTTTGATTCAGCGCATGATATACATAAAATTGAAATTCATTTTTTTACATTTATTTGTAAACTAGTGATATTGGTCTACGTGGATTATGAACGGCCCCTTAGATCGGAAACCCCCATCATGGATTTCAAAATTCTACACGGTTTTACCGTTCCTAAAATATTCGTTATATAGGGTTTGTGCACTGGCGTAGCTAATGAGGGTGCCTTGAGTGCCTGGCCCCTCCAGATTTTTTTGAAGATTTGCATAATTTAAATTGTCGGTATAAGAATCTAAAAAAATCTGGAGGGATGGAGCCTGGATCATTCTGGATGAAGCTAGGAACCCCTATTAGCTACTCCAATGGGCATATGGCATCAATCATTAATTTCCAGCCGCTCATGTAGTTCTCGCTCCGAAAGTAGCCAATTTATAGATTATATAACGGATTTTTTTTTTAATCGCAAACCACCCTCTTGGATTTAAGAATAAAAAAATTGTCATTATACTACATTGTACTACACGTGTACATCAAACAAATTTACACTACAACAGAGACCACTCACTACATTACACTTCATATTTGAGCTAACCATTTATCACTCTCTAAGAAGCAAATGAAGAAGAAGTAGCAATGTTACGGAGAAACTTTCGTGTTTATGGAAGAAGAAGAAGAAGAAGAAGAAGAAGAAGAAGAAGAAGAAGAAGAAGAAGAAGAAGAAGAAGAAGAAGAAGAAGAAGAAGAAGAAGAAGACGAGTATGTAATATTTTATTAGTTGGCAATATCACCATCAGATAGCTTTTTAACGTTTAATTGGCACACACTACACGAGCAGGAGAAAATAGCTTATGAATACCTAATTCTATTCCTGACACCAAAATTTGGTGTTGATCAGCCGACAAAAGAGATCAAATACCAAAGAATAATACCAAAAAAATAGCATGCAAAATACTTCCCAAATAACCAAAAATAGTAGGGAATTTGTAACAGTTATGGCTATACGTTCCTATTATAGTGTGGTCCAATTGTGACCTATAGAATTCTCATAGGCCATAATTAGAACACACCATAATAGGAACGTCATAACTGGTATACCTACCCTATTTGGATACCAAAAGAATACCGGTGTGGTATAGTTTTGGTATTGCATTTAATCAATTTGGTATTGAAATGATATTGTAGGAACATTGTTTTTTTAATATTATTCTTTGGTATTTTACCTTTTATGCCAAGCTAATACATACCAATTTAAGGTATCAACATATTTGTTCTTGCTCGGGTACTGCACCATCTAAATCAGTGCGAGCAATAGGGAAACAGATTACACACTCCCCCCGAAGAACGCGAACTCGGTCTACAAGAAATCCCTTTAAGTTGGTCTCGAATGATTCCGTTTACGCGAGGGAATCGCATAAATGAAGTATACGTAGCATATGGGAGTTGACCTAATAGGGATCAACATGGAATATCTCGCGATCTTGGACATATAGAAGGTTACTGCCTTCGGCAAAGTTGTTCAGTAGATCAAGACCTAAAGGTTGGTGGACAGAAGTTCGAAATTTTCTCGACTTCTTCATTCAGCAATATCATTTCTATCATTCCTTCGTAATTTTCACCCAGCTACTATTTTTAGTTTGCGTGTAGATAGTTGAAATTTATATAACAATCATATTTGGTATAGTTAATTGTAATAATCCACTGAACAACTTTGCCACAGACAACAACTTCCTAGATCGCTAGGATTTCAAGATATCACATAAAAAGAAATCACAAATTCAAGCATACTTGCCCCGCTTAGTGAGAAACTTCCGAACTTCTGTCCATCAACGATAAGGTTTTGGTCCACTGACAAACTTTGCCGAAGACAACAACTTCCTAGATGGCAAGGATTTCAAGATTTCACGTAAAATAGGAAATCATCAATACATTTACACTACCGCCACGTTGTGAGAAAATACCAAAATTCTGTCCACCAACCATTAGGTCATGATCCACTGAACAACTTTGCCCAAGGCAGCGATCTTCTAAATGGAAAGGATTTTAAGATATCGACAAAAACAAGGAAATAACTATTACATGCACACTAGCACCGCGTAGTGAGAAAAGAATTCCAAACTTCTGTCCATCAGCCATGAGGTCTTGATCCACTGAAAAACCTTGCCGGAGACAACAATTTCCTAGATGTAAATTATTTCAGGATATGACATAAACAAGGAAATCACAAATTCAAGCACACTAGCACCGCGTAGTGAGGAAATTTTAAACTTCTGTCCACCAACCATAAGGCCTTGATCCACTGAACAACTTTGCCCAAGACAGCAACTTCCTAGATAGCAAAGATTTCAAGATATCACATGAACAAGGAAATCACGAATACATGCATACTAGCACCGCGTAGTGAGATAATTCCGAACTTCTGTACACCAAACATTAGGTCTTAATCTACTGAACAACTTCGCCCAAGACAGCAACTTCCTAGATGCTAAGGAAATCACAAATTCAAGCACACTAGCACCGCGTAGTGAGAAAACGCCGAACTTCTGTCCACCAACTCTTGATCCACTGAAAAACTTTGCCGAAGAAAGCAACTTCCTAGATGACAAGAATTTCAAGATATCACAAAAACAAGGGCATCATTAATTCATGCACACTAGCACCGCGTAGTGAGAAAATTCCGAACTTCTGTCCAACAACCTTTAGGTCTTAATCCAGTGAACATCTTTACCGAAGACAGTAACCTTCTATATGTCCAGGATCGCGAGATATTCCATGTTGGTCCCTATTAGGTCGAATCCAATTTGCTACATGTACTCTTCGGGGGGAGAGTGTAGTTGGAAAACAGTGAATCCATTCATCCCCGTGTGCTAGATAGCTTCAAAAAGCTCCAATTCTATGGAGTTTGACAATTGAACTGTACCCGCCATCTATATTGTGCTTACTGTGAATTTTCACTGTACATAGTGGTACAATCAGTGGAAACGTGATCGTATTAGATTATTCCAAAACCGTTTGACTTAAGGTGATACTCTAAGGAAGCCTTAGCGTGAAACTTTAAAGGCACAAATGTCAGATTCCACAAAACATACAAATTTGAAATTGCTACTCCTTGTTTGCTGTGCTACTACAGAGTAGCAATTTCAAATTTGTATGTTTTGTGGAAGCTGACATTTGTGCCTTATAAGTTTCACGCTAAGGCTTCCTTAGAGTATCACCTTAAGGTGAAAAATAATGTCTACGAAGAAGTTTCTAAACATGTTAAAAAGCCGCGCACAATGCACAGTGGGCCAGGACTTAAATCTAGCAGGAGAAACAATGAATCCTGATGAATGTGGATACATTAGTGTGCAACTTTAATTTTCAGTCGTGTGATTTTGGTCGTTTGGATGACGTGCTCTCAAACATCGAATGGGATGCTCTACTGCGACGGGAATCATTGTACGAGTCTGTATCAGCTTTCTATGATAAACTTTACGAAGTTCTTAGTGACCAAGTACCTCAAAAGAGACAACTAGCTTCTTCAGTCTACAACAAGCCATGGTGGACTAGACTGATGCAAAATTTGACTTTTTCGCTCCACAATACTTAA